TTTGTACAAGAGGATACAATGGTGGAGGAAGGACCAATTTGTGTCCTCCTTTAACTAACCAGACTGAGATAAAAGGTGTCACTAGGATGATAACGTCCTCGCCTTGCACTCTTTTATTGTTGCTCCATTTGCTCCCACCCCCCAAATCCTGTTCTTTCATTCTTTCAATACCCTCGGCCATATTTTAGCTCCATGCCATTGCATAATGATGCTCTGCTAAATGTGTGTGTGCTATCTGAAACTCTGGCTGACAGCCTTGCCCGATAACCAAATTCCTGGCCATCTATCACTTGCTGCCTCTTCTCAACTTAAGGAAAGTGATAACCAAAGCATGGCTGTTTATCACTGCAAGCTGGGCTCTTCTTTTCCAGATGGAAGAAAAGAGAGATAGAAAGCCTTACCTCCAATTTTCATAACCATCCCTTTCCTACCGTTTCAGAATGGCAAAACTGCTATGTACTGCCAAGAAGACCTTGACATGGTTCTGGCTTGTAATTTTGGTGCAAAAATATTTTTTTAAATTTAATAACACCAGAAAATATATTGTATTGCACTGCACTGCACTATACTATACTTATATCTAGCTGTCTAGCTATCTAATTTATCCTGTTCAAAAACAGCTTAATGCCTTTTTAAGTTAGAGATGGAGTTTTATTAAATGTCTCAATTGTTATCAGAATAGTATGTATGCATACACACATGCATACTCACATTGCAGCTGGGGAGTGGTGAGGGGAACTGGGTTGTGTAAGCGATGTGCTGGCGTGCATGCCCATGCGCACACATCTCAACTTGCGCGAGTTGGGCTGCACACACATGTGGATGTGCGCCAGCCCACTCCTCGCGCAAGTCAAGCTCCGTGCACACTCATACACCAGCTCACCGGTCACACGATCCAGTTCTGAATAGGCCACGGCCCAGTAGGGGGGCTGTGGCCTGGGGGTTGGGGACTTCTGGTATAGAACATAATTGGAAATTGCAAAATGTAAATAAGTGCAAATATATTCTGTTCTCTGAAAAATACAGACTTGATACCATGCCTTATATAGCAGAAACCATGAAAAATCAGCTTATCTTCATATTGGGTAAGACTATATAATTTTTATATAACGAATATATGCCAGTGATGGACATGATAATAAATCAATGGCATTGGTTGCCTGATATCTTGTCTCCATGGTGAGATGCTAATGGGAATGTCCAACAGTATAATGTGGGCCTAATGTCACTATTAGTGTTTTCCGGTGAGACTGGTCTATCAGGGCAACCTGGTCTACTCCAAATATGGGACGGAGCATACTGCTTCCGCTTTTGCCTTTCAGCCTCAGTCTAGGAGCCTTCACAGGCAGTCGCTTCTGTGACAGACTATTTATGTGTTAAATTTGAATTTTACTGACAATTTCCCTTTAATTCCCTTTAATTTTTTGTTGGTAAAATTCAAATGTAATGTCACGATACAATACAAGAACTAGTACTATAATTCACTGATTATATAAGTAGTATCTAATAGCTTTCAATAGTATTATTCTCCATAGATTTGCTTAACTGTCTTTTAAAATAATCTATGTTGATAGCCATATACACATTTTGTCTTAGAAAATAAGAAGTTTGACTCTGTGTGGAAAACAGTGTTTCCTTTTCTCTCCTGAAATTTCTCAACCTTCAGCTTTATTCAGTAATTGATTTCTATGATAAGACGAGGGAGAAAGAAATCTATCCACTTTCTCCACATTTGTAAAATTCTGTTCCTTTTTAATTAGTATTTTTAATTTAAAATATTTGTAGCCTTTCTTTGTGGATATATTGTTCCACCCCCAAAGGGTTCATTTGTCTTTTCTATAAAGTACTTTTTAAAATTTCCTATATGGATTCTGAAATACATAGTGATTGCAGTTTGGTCTAGTGGTAAGGGTTGTTGTGGAGAAAATAGGAGGAGGAAGAAAGTGTTTTGGATATATTCGCTGCCTTGAGTTATTTGTAAAAATAATAAAGATGGGATACATATAAATAAATAAAAAATAAAATATATTGCCTTTGAATCACTGTTGACTCCTGGTTACTATCTGACAAGTTCATGCAGTTTTCTTGGCAAGATTTTTGAAAGTGGTTTGGATTGACATAGATGACTTCAGGTCAGGGATCCCCAACCTGTGGGCCGTGGCCCACTTACCAGGCCATGGCCTGTTCACAACTGGGTTGTGTGGGTGGTAGGCTGACATGCGCACGAGCGGTGAGCACCAGCACTTGCAGCCCCACTTGCGTGAGCGGCTGTCACATGGCCCTGCCCCTCGCACAGAACCATGCCCTCTTTCCCCCCTCTCCCCACACCGGGCCGCCAACCTGGAAAGGTTGGGGAACCCTGCTTTAGGTAACCATATGTTGCTAAGGCGGACAGCCTTTCTGATATTTTGATCTGAAGATTACTGTGATAATAAGAGTAAAAGTGTCCTCCAAGATAAGGACAAACTTGACTCCAGTTTATGCCAGAACTTTATTAATGTACAAAGTATGCATAGAAGATAATATATTCCAATCCATTGACTTGGAATGGGAAAATATAGTACCTGTTAGAGATACCCAAGACTGGATATTTTGTAAATGCAAAACATTTAAGGCAGGGTTGGACTGTCTTGTATTGGCTAAGATCACATTTAACATTTGGGATGAGCTTGAGGACTCCAGTAGGTGAAATGGTGATATAAATTGATAGGGCCAGTTATTTTGCTTTCGTTTTTCTGGGTGGAGGTTTTAGTTCTATTAAGGTTATATGTGGGCTTATACCTAGAGATGTTAAGTGTTTCCTGCTTCAAATGACATTACGTTTTGACAGTTTTGATTAAGAAAAGCCTAAGGACTTTATAAAGAGACCGATGGTGTGCATGTTCCTCATCTCTGTATTAAGGGGAGAAATGTATCCAACTATATCAATCAACCTTGTTTTTGAAGAGAAGCACGTAATTCTAAATTCAGTGAAACTAAATGTTAGTGCTTGCTTAACTGTAGAGCTGAGGTAGCGGAAATTTCAACAGGAAAGTTATCCTCCAGTTATGCTGAACTAACACTGCCTCATTGCAGCCATTTTGGAATGTTGTCTGTGGATGATTGGAATTGTACATCAACACAGTTTAAGGCTAAAAGATAGGGGATGTCACCAACTCCTCACTACCTCTGCCTTGCTCAGTCTCTTCTCCCTCCTTTTTTCTGGAAAAAAATCAGTTTAAGGAGCACAGTTTACATCAAAGTGTTGGGTGCAAAGAGCATGCTTGATTTGCATATCCAATTGCTTGGATTGAAGTAATTACCATGTGTAAATGGATCTATTAATCACTTATTTAATTAATTTTTGGTCTTTCCTATGGCCACCTAATTCATACCCAATCCAGCATTCAAAGCATATCTAAAAATCTTTAGCAAAGCATTAATAAGCAATACGACCTGTTAACTACCCCATATCAATCAAGTTGATTGAGTATAAATGAATTTACATTCTAAACTAATGGCTGCAATGTCCATTCTTTTCTCCACCAGCAGCAGAAGGCTGTATATGTGAATGTGTGTTATGGGTTATGTAGCAGGTGTATTGACCTGAATCACAAAGTTCAGTACTTGTCCCCTTTTGTTTGCTTCTGAAGACAGAAATAGGAGATCTGTATTTCATATTGCAGGATGTTAAATGTTTGTGCCTTGCTTACGTATGCTTGTTTTGGCAAACTCCTGTTCTGATGATCTTAAATCTATGAGGTGTTAAGCCTGAGTAGTGTATTTAAACTTTTATCAAAACAAGGGACAATTCAAGATGAATCTTTTCCTCAGCCCCCAGCATTGCTGTGTTGAATGGCTTCTCCTTCTTCCTCAAAAACGTGGCTTTGTGTATTTACCTCCATTAACTTTAAATACCCTGTTCAGACTTATGCAAAATGTTTTGAGTGATAGCTCTGGGAAATGACATAGCCAAGTCATTTTACAACTCATTTCATTGAGTACATCTATTAGTCAATAAAGGGATTGTATGACACAAGAAAATATCTATTGCAAGCCATAAAACAAATATAGAGAGTTGTCATAATATCTGTGGGGTTGTGTATCACTGTAAATGATGAATCTGGCACATGAAATGAGAGGATATTTAAAGTATATTACTCTTTAAAAACAAACAACCAAATAAATATATGTTGTAAGCACTCCCGAAGTACTTGTAATTGTTTTCAATTTGTTTATCTCTTACATCCTAAAAATTCAGAGAAGTGTGAGGATTTGTCTTTCATTTGGAGTTGGCACTGATGGTAAATGACCCACTATTTTACAACGTTGTTAATATAACTGGGGCTAGCACAAAAAAGATTTTTTTTGGGGGGGAGGGGAAATGTATGATCTGTTGGTTCCATCTGATTTAACACATTTTTCCTTTGGTTGGTTCCATCTTATTTAACACATTTTTCCTTCCTGGTTTTTGTAAAATATAATTTAGATTTCTGTAATTTGTATTATAACTAAATTTTAACTATTTTGTATTTTCAAACTGCAGCTGTATTTGTTTTCCAATGAAGGAATGGGGTGAGGGAGAAATAGTGCCATAAAGAGGATCGATCATCACAGAAATATTTCTGTGCATCTAAGTTCTGTGCAACTCCTTACGAAATACTTTTCTTTTTTCTTTTTCACTGTCCCTTTTACAGAACAATTAATATTTAATTTTAAATAACAATAGTAAGTTAATAATGAATATCTGAAGGACTATAAAGATTGTCCACCCATAATGGTAGCCAATTTGTGAATAGGCAAACACTTTGAGGCAACCATTTTCTTTGTTTAATCATTTCCTTTCAAAACGTCAGATGTGCCTACCTTCCCAAAATGGTTGGGAATCCCTCAACTAGAGAGTCATGTACTCCTAAGAAGACTGAGGTTTGGGCTGAATTACAGATGGTGCATTCCATTATTTCTCCTTTCTTGGGTACTTAGATTGTTCTACTTGAACCAACCTGCTCTTTTTCTTACAGGTTACCTGGACAATGCCAGTACTTAGGGCTTCCAGTTGCTGATTACTTCAAACAGTGGATTAATCTCAAAAAGGTACTTTCATTGCTGATATGTCTCTCTTGCCCTCCCCATCTCAGTCTTTGTTGTCTCTTCATTTCCATCATTTCCCCTTCCTTCTATAGTATTCTTCTCTTCCTTCAAGGAGGTATTTAATAAGCGCTGCTGTTTTGCATTGAAATGAGGAGTTATTTTCTCAGAACCTGGGTGAAGCAAAGTTCCTATTGTATTTCTCCTAATAGAGTCTTACTGTACTTGATGGAATATGGTCTCCAGCTGGAAAATCTCATTGTAGTCATCCTGATATAGCACCTCTATGCATAATAACTTAGCATTTCCTAGGATAGGCTGGGTCAATTGGAGCATATCTAAATCTTTCTCCCCTAGAATTTCTAACTTTCCACTCCCTCCTCCCTGCCCCAAATATTAGCTAGCTATTTTTAGTCTTTAAAATGCTTAAGACTTTTTGTTTTATTCAGTTTAACAAAACTACCACTGAATCTCTTTTCTTTTGTAATTAAGTGACTATAGTTATAGCTGCTGAGATATGGATGCCTCCTTCATTTGTTGGTTCACACTTTATTGTTGGATTACTCAAATATCTTACATTTTTCTAAAACATTTTTCATGAGCCTATATGGATTAATTTGTGACTCCATCCCACTGAACCCAACTCTTTCTATTATGCAGTTAAGAAGTGGAAATTGGCAGAGAAATCAAGAAACTGCAGCACATAGATGTGCAGCAAAATTATTTTGTTTGAATCATGGTATAAACAAATAAGATAGTTTTGCATTTTAAATTCTATTTTCATTAAAGATGAAATTGCCGATAGTACTATTTCTCATTTTATTTGTTACATCAAAAAATGGTCAGGAACTATTCTGAGCAGTTATAGAAGGAAAATTAGCATAATCTGTTTTGTCAATTCGGAGTAGGGCACAAGTGTAATGAGGGAGAAGCTGGCAGCATGTGCCTTAGTTTGACAAGGATTTTCTTCATTCCCTGCTGTCAGAGTGAATCTCCTAGTTTATCATGAAAGTATGTTGGGGATTTTGTGCCACTCAGTAACCATTAAGAATTGCCACTTGAAGTTCACTAAACTTCTGGTGAATGTATATAAATGATATAGCTAATCAATATTGATGGATGTATCAAGAAGAAAAATAAAATATCCCTGTATAATAACATTTGATATGAGCTGCGTAAAACTCTTTGCTATATTGTACTTCTTGCAACGTTTTGCTTTCATTTGGGCTATTGACTTTTTGTTTTAAAAGTCTGACTTTCATATAATCTAATCTTACATTCCAATGGGAGAAAATATTTTTTCTAAGAAAAATAGCTTCATGTATAGAGCTTAGGTTATAATTCACATGGGTGGTGGGGTGGTTGTATCTTAGAATGGGGACAGCACAAAATCTCAGGATAGAGACATAGTAGAGATCAGAGTAGAGATCACAGGAAAAATAACAGTTGGGGTTAACATCAGCTGTAAATCACTTGCTTTCTTATCAGATAAGATGACTCATGCTGACTTGGTTAGAAGGATGTGAAGCATATTTGCTGTGCTTAGTATAGGAAGAGTAGCATTTGATTTTGTGCCAAGTCCTCACATTTTCTAGTCTCTGAAGTGACTTCATTGACTCTTCAGTTTGAAAAATCTCCTTCTCATGGAAAAGTTCTCACTTTTCTTCTAGCTTCTTGTGCACCAGGCTTTCCACTTTGCTGACTTGTCTATGGTCCAAAGACAGCCACAGATAAAAACTTTAGTTGCTAATTAGAGTAAGTAGAGCCAAAATTCCACTGAAGAATGTGTTCAGGTGGCTAAGTTTGAGAAGGACATCACATAGTCTTTTTCTCAAATTTCACAATTGTGATTGTGTTATATTAAATCTTGTCTATTCTGTGAGGTGATTATTGTTTTAGATTGAATGGGTTGATTTATCTATGTTATTGGGTATTCTTCAGGTCATTTTTTTAAAACAAATTTTCAAGAAGGATGTATAAGATATCTCTATATTGTTTTCACTTTCCCAAAGATACAGCGATTTTGAAAGATAATGGAGAATAGGGAGAGACTGGAGGGAAGAAACCCATGAGAATGGAGTGTGGGGAGAAAAAATGGAACATGCATGGTAGGTAGTGAATGGTAGTAAGGGAGAAGCCAAGAGAGTGTAACAACTAGCAAAGGTTAACATATCTTTCTGCTGCTGCTATAGTCATCTTTCAGAATTACTAATCATAACATCATAAAAAAACCCTAATGGGATTGCAGCCAGAAGTCTTAGAGATACTGTTTGGTTTAGGGAGATTGGAAGAAAATATTTAAGAAATAACAGCAGCAACTGACCATGGAATATGTCTAGGAGTGGAGAAACAAGCTTTGCTACTGTGTTTTGAAAACAGTTCTTTTGGAGACCTTTAATCATTTATAGATTTTATGCCCTGGTTCTGTATCTAGTCATTGGTAAAATAACTGGTGACTCAGAAAGGCTTGCTATTTGATTGGGAAGTACTATTCTTAGAAAAGGTCAGGGCACCTGTATTTTCATTGTTTCCTATTCTTTACACTAGAACATAGAGGAAACTGATTCATTCTTTGGGACCTTGCATGACTTGATATGCTATTGTTGCATGAGAAGCTGTCCATTTCCTCACACCTAGCTATCAGATCCAATCGTCCATCTTGAATATTGCAAGAAAGGAAAGAACTTCCAGCATGCAGAGGTTAATAATAGGGCTGTGCAAAGTACTCAGAGCAACACGGTGTGAAGCACTTTGGTGAAAGTGAAACACTCCTCTTTGTAATATGGAGACAGCTGCATCCATTGGTAAGCTGGGAATAGCTGCTGTGAAAGCTGTCCCAGTCATCTCCATATGTGTATGCACATGTAGAGCCACTTTGCTTTGCTAGCCGTTTCTGCAGAATTTGGGCATATCCACCTGCAAACACTCTGGAAGAGCCTTGAGCCACACCAAGCCTTTGAGGAATTGCTGCTGGCTTAGTACTTTGAGTTTTCACTTGCATCAGTGCACTTCACAAAGCAACCTCTTGAATGTGCTGTCCAGTCGTATTAATGGCAACTTGATACTTAGTGCAGTGAACGAATAAGATCCAAGATTTTAGGATAAATACAATCCTTGTTCATGGCTGCATATGTTGTCAGAAGTTTTATTTTTCTTTGTCCTCAAATGCTTCTTCTTGTCAAATCATATTGCATTCTTGCATTTTTAATGTCACTGAACTAACGTGTATCTTTTGTAAGTCATCAGCTTTAGAGAGTTTATCAGATTTTATGCCTTGTTTAGATCAAGCTTTAGCAATGCTGACCAAAATATGGATGTTTTAAGAATGTTTGTGTGTATCAGATTTTTCTTTAAACTCTGTGTATTGCCAGTTTTGAGTTAGTTGCTGAAACCTTTTTACTGTGTCTTTACTTCTGCTATAGTCAAAGGCAGTATTTACCGTTGCAATTAATAGAGCCAAAAATTGTACTTTATCATCAAAATACGCAGTACAGATTCCTCAGACAAGAGAAACTCTTTTGTCTGCAAATACTATGAGCATCGATGATGCTGCATAAAAGATTGGTAGTAGCAGTTGCCATATAATAGCATGCAGTTCCTCAGGCTGTGTAATAAACAGCTTTGATTACAGGGAGCAAAAGGGATGCTCTCATACAAACAAAACAGCTTTATTCATCACCAGTACTATCTCCATCCATCCACTTAATATATTACTATATTATTCCTATCTATTCCCATCTCAAAGTGGTATATAAATAAAAAATTAAAAAAACAAATACAAGAATAATGTTAAATTAAAACAATATAAAAACATTTTCATTAAATGGAGAGGTAGAAAGCCAAAAAAAAAAATATATTACACAGGGAAGACCTATGTAAGACTTATGTATGTGAAGACAGAGATTTGTAAAAACATAATGATAGGTACCTCTTGGATTTGGGTAGGAGTTTAGTCCAAAGAGGGAGTGCTACCACTGAGAAGACTTCTCTGCCAAGCTCTGCAAACTGTGGAACAAGCAGCAAGATCTCCATATAGCCAGACTTGTAATGGAGAGTGATGATATGTGTACTCTTTCTGTTTTTAACAAGCAAAATTGTCATTTCCACAGTTTTAACATCTCCATGGTCAGGTGCTTCACTTAACAAACTGGTCTCTGCATTTTCCACCAATTGCACCTTTGGCTCAAGGATATTCTCACATATGTGCATTAAACTAATGTAAGCAACAGTAATTAAATTGTCCTTGAACTAAAAAGGGTAGAAACTTTCTAAACAAAGTTCATATATTAACTGAATATATAAACAGGCCTGCTCATTTGGGCCTTCAGTAATAGTGAGTTTTCCTAATTTTGGAAAGTATAACTGTATTTTAGAACAGGCAGTTGTCACTTGTCATATCAAGAAACATCCTGTTGTCAGGATTTGGTTTCAGTTCTTGGATTTATTATTTCTTTGCTTCAGAACATGTATAGCCTCCCCTGATTCAGATATTACACAGAAGGAGAGTTGAATGTCATCAGCACATTCATAACATCTTACCAATTTTTTTTTTAATGACTGGTCCTAGTGGCTTCATACAGAGCCTTCAAGATATCTTGGGCTCAGTATTATAGGAAAGAGAAGTGGATGGGGGCAATCTTTACTGAGAATATCATGATACACAACTACAAAAAATCAGGCTGTTGTAAAAACAGTTCTGTTGTGCAGAGCAAATGGTTTCTTGATTTTTACCTAGCACTACTAGTGTAGTGCATGTTACAATTGAACGGTAATGCCAAATACAACCTTAGTAAATATTTTAGCACAGGTAGACATTTCTAGAGTTTAGGGCACTTTTGTCTTATAATATGCCTCCTTGAATTGCATGCATATGCTCTGCATAATTGTGTTCACTGGAATATCAGAATTCAAGCTATATATCAAATGACAGCATGGAGTTGACTGGAAAGATTAGTTATGCACTGGCACACACTTCATGCAAAAATTTACCAGAAGATTGGCGCTTG